ATATATATGATGCTCAGTGGTACAGCACCTGCCTAACATTGTGAGATCCTGACTTCCATTCCCAGTGCTGTAATAAAGAAAAGAAAAAAGAGGAGGGGAGTGGAAGGGACAAGAGGTGAGTGAAGCGGGGAGAAGATGGAAGGAAAGCCTGCTTTTCCAAGCCAGCAGTGCCCTGCCTGGCCCTCCACGTCTGACTGCATCTTCCCACAGGTCGCCACCTCCTAGAGAGGGGGTGGGGACTTAGGGTGTGTGAAGCAGATGGACGGAAAATGCCAGAAATGCCAGCAGGGGAAGGCTGGGGAAGGAGAGAGGGAGGGACCAGCAGGCCCAGGTCCAGCGCAGAGCAAACACAGCCAGCGGCTCGCACGGGCCCACAGCGCCCCCTGGTGGAGATGAGGGCGGCCAAGCGTCCACAGGAAGAGCTGGGGACACGCTGAGGACAGGCTGCAGCAGACAGCGTTAAGGGCGCCAGGCCCAGTGCCGCCCAGGCTCCTATCTGCCTGAGCCTGCCTCGAGGGCAGGGTGCAGCCCAAGGGGATGTGTTCAAGATTCTGGGCCCAGGCCCGGGTGTCTGGGCTCAATGTCTGGGCCTGGCACATCCCTTCTCTGTAGGTGAGGATGGCACCAGGGTCTGCTGCAGAAGCGGGAGTTAAATTAGTGAATATTTTCACTTCCTTAGAACAATGCTGTATGTGTCCTAAAAGCAAATTGTTCTGAAAAGACTCCTGAATATAAGTAGCTGTGTTTTAATAGAGAAAATATTTCAAATTACTGACCAACTTAATCACAGGTTGAATATCCCTTCTCTTGGGACCAAAAGTGTTTCAGATTTCCAATTTTTCTTTTTGTTTGATATTTTGCTGCATTTGCATACTCATTTTGAAATATCTTGGGAATGGGACTCAAGTGTAAAGACAAGGTTTATTTATGCTTCATCTGTAGCTTCTACACAGCCAGAAGGTCATTTTATAGACTCTCTTTAATAATTTTGGGCATGAGTTTTCTACATGTGCTCAAAATATTTCAGATTTTGGAGTTGATTTCCAAGCCAGGGAGGCTCCGCCTATACAGTACTGCTTGTCCCCCACCCCTAACCTGAGGGCATGTCTGTGTCTCATTTACTTGGTGCCCCGTCCCCCAGCCCCCCTGCAGTTCTCCTATCCGGCTGACAGCAGTAGGGACACAGGAGGGAAAGGGCTACATGCTCTGGGGTCCTGGCTGCAGATCTCCAGTGAGCCACTACCACCTCCCTGAGCCCTGGAAGGGACCCTCCAAAGGACAACGAAGATGTCACGGGGCTCTTGCCAGGACAGAGTGAGATGGGTATTGGGAGGGCTTGGCCCAGGGTGCCTTGGAGAAAAGCTTGGTGCACAAGAGGGAGCAGAAGCCGGGAGATCTCATCTCATACCTGCTGCCGTGGGGTGGAGATGGCCAGGGAGGAAGGAGGGAAGCAGGGAAAGCCCAGAGGTCTTGCCAGGGCCTGTGATGGGGCTTCAGCCCATGATACAGGCCTGCACTGCCATGGGACCCACTCAACATGTCCCCTTGGCTGGTGCCCCTACCTTCTGGGGGACAGGGAGGGAAGGAGGAGGAAGAGGCTGTATGTCTGTACCTGACGTCGGGGCTGGAGTCCAGCCTGCTGGCCTCACACTGCAGCCTGGCCAGGGTGGCCCCACCTTCCTGCTGCAGGTGCAGTAGGCCCGGGTCTCTCAGCACAGCCTCCATCAGCTCCTTGGACTTGCTCAGACAACTGGTGGCCTCCTACCAGCATAGGGAGCTTCCTTTAGGCCCCATCGTCACTTTCCTCCTGGGCTCCCCACATCAGGATCATCAACTTTCCCACTTCCTCCAGAAAATGACCTTTTATCTTTAGTTTATCTCCTCAAGTCACTCCTCCTCTCATCACCATGGCAACTTCACTGGTCCAAGCTCCAAGCTTCCTGGGACACCTCATCCTAGCCTCTCTGCTACAGATCTCCCTGCTGCCCTCTGGCTCCCCCTACAGTCTGTTCTCCACCAGGCAACTGAAAAGATCAAAAAGAGCCAGTCTGCTCATCCCCTTGCTTGAAATTCTCCAGTGGCTTTCCTCCCACTTAGGATGGAACCTCACCCAAGGACCTGGAAGAGCTCCCGGTGCTCTCCTCTTCCCTCCTACTCACTCTGCTTCACACTGCCTCCATGTTATTCCTGCGCTTGCTGAGCCTCTCCGGTCTCAAGGTGGCTACCCTCGGCCTGGAGTGCCATCCTGCTCAATGGCAAGCTCCTTCTTGAGTTTCCTGCATCAACTTAAAAAGTGTCTCTTCAGAGAGACTGTCCCCTTGCCATTCTCAATCTTACTTTCATGGCATCTGAGCACAACCTGCGACTACCTGTGCATTTCTTGGTTTGCTTTTTAGTGACTACCTGTACCACCACACTGTGTGCTCTGCCAGGGGCAGATGTGAATCAGCCTGGCCCTGCAGGTGCCCAGGAAATACTACCCATTGGGAAGGAAAGATGAAGATGCTGCTGCCCACTTTGCCTGTTGCCTTCACTGAGCTTGGTCTGTAAAGGCTGGAGTGTGGTGTGGCTTCCCTACCCCATGCCCCAGGCTCACCTGCAGTCCCCCAGGGGGATCACCCTTCTCAAACTCCTCAATGGAAGCCTGCAGCAGGGAGGAGGCCCAGTGAAGCTCAGCAAGGAAAGGATCCAAGTTCTGTAGGACAGAGACCAGAGTGAGTGTAAGGCCCAGCCAGGGAGATATGGCCTCACCCAGGAGGACACACCGGGAGGCTTCAGGGCAGAGTTCTATGCCTCTAGGGTGGACAGAAGAATGTGCATCCCTAGCAAATGATGGTGCTGCTGGCCTGGAGGGCCCTACACTGGGCTAAAAACCACTAGTGTTGAGATGAGACAGTGGAGAAAGAAGACAGATCTGTTGCCCCTGAAGAAGACCTTGTGGAGGGGAAAGGCAAGGGCAGATCACATCCTTAGGTCGGTCCCACTTCAGCCCAACTCTGGCTCAGCTGTGAGGCCTTGAATATGTTACCTAGCCTTCTGGTCCTTTGCTTTCTCCTCTGTGAAGTGGGGATCACTCTAGCTCCTGCTTTGTGTGGTGTGAGAGGATTTGATGGGTTAATTTGTTCATAGCACTTAGAGCCCAGGGCAAACCAGACTTTGTCACCACCAGCAACTTTATACTCTGGTCCAAATAGGAGCTCATGGAAAGGAAAGCTTTGAAAGTTGCAGTGTAGTTCAGAAGCTACCGGATTAACTGGAAATGGGAAACAGAGTCTGGGAAAAAGTAGGAAAGGAGCTTTTGGGGCCAGGGAGATGGCTCAGTAGAATTAGTGCTTGCCTGGCAAGCGCAAGGGCCTGAGTTCAACTCCCGGCTCTGCAAAATAAATAAATAAATAAATAAATAAATAAAGGCACTATGATATAGAAATTTAATTTTGGGCCAGCCAAATAACTCAGCTGACTAAAGCCCCTGTAAGCAGGTTTAGGGGTTCAATCCCTGGGCCTGCTGCACTAACCCTGCCCCCAGGGCGCACTGAGATGGCAATTGAGACTGGGCGTGGTGGCTCACACCTGTAATCCCAGCTCTTGAGAGGCTATAAACAGGCAGATCACTAAGAGTCTGATCTAGTAGTGAGACCCTGAACACCCTGTAGACCCTTCCCTAAAATACAAAAAAAAAAAAAAAAAGAAAGAAAGAAAGGAGCTTTCTCAGGACCCCCCCCCATTGGCAGTTCGGGTACAGTCATCCCTTGGCATGTGGGGGGAAGGGTTCTAGGACCGCCGTGGACCAAACTTCAAGGACGCTCGAGCGCCTTGTGTGAACGTTGCAGTATCTCCACATACCCTGGATATGAGCTCCCATGTACCTTAAATCTTTCTCAGATTGCCTCTGATACCTAACGGAATGTAATCACTATGTAAATAGTCATTCCGCTGTATTGTTCAGGGAATAGCAAGGAGAAAGTCTGTACACGTTGATTCACATAGAGGCAGGTTTTGTTTTCAAATGTCTTCAGTCTGAACCGAGGGGTTGCAGGACACAGAGATGTTGGGCCGACTGTCCGGCCTGTTCAAACCCAGGTACAGCTGTAGAAGAGGATCCGCTAAGCCAGAATCAAATATACCACTGTGCTAGACTGGTAGTGTAGACCAGTGGTTCTTAACAGGAGGGGCATTGCATTCTGGGGATACTTGACATGTGGTGACATTTCTGACTGTCATCATTGTCAGGGAGAAGCCAGGGATGCTGCTAAACATGCCCCAGGCACAGGGCAGTGCCTTCCATGACACAGTGACCTGGTTCAGCCCTCACCAGGAGGGCTCCAGGAGGGCGTCTATAGCTGCTGTGCCCCATGTGCCCTCGTGCAAGTCACCCCCACTCTGTGCCTGCATGTAAAACTGCATAGGAAGAGCCCGTCAGGGCAGTGCTGGGGGGGGACTGCAGCCAGGCAGGCGAGGAGCCCAGCACTGGCAGCCGCCTTGTTTCCTCCCTCTGATGGGAGGCTGCCTCCCCGCCCCCCCACCTCCTGAGCTCCCTGAGCCATGTGGGTCCACAGAACAGACGCCTGTACGTCTTCTGGTTAACACAGACTCAGCTCAGAGCATTGGCAAACCCTCTTCTAAGCTCCTTATCCATACTGACTCGATTCTCACAAGAACCCAATGAGGGGCTGGGGAGATGGCTCAGTGGAATAAGCGCTTCCCTGGCAAGTGCAAGGGCCTGAGTTCAATCCCTGGTTCTGCAAAAAAAAAAAAAAAAAAAATGAGGTGGTAATAGTATTACCCTCCCCTTTCACTGATGAGGAAAACAAGACTCAGAGATATGAGTAGCTCACTCAAGCTCACACAGCAGAGCTGGAATAGGGCTCACACAAGCTGGCTCTAGAACCTGAACTCTTACTCATTTCACTCTGCACCTTCATTACAAATGTTTGTGGATTGACTGTCTGTTCAAATTCAATGGTGTTGACAAATCTGAAGGGAAGAAGAAAAACAGGAACAGCCAAAGGCTGTGATGGTAGACACCTGGAAAAAGTGCACCCACTCGCTGTGGCAGTAGGGGAAGGGGCCTTTCAGGGCTTCGGGCAGCTGGCTGGGGTCCACGTGGTGGCTGAGGGCCTTCAGTGAGGCCAGTACCTCCACCTGCAGACAAAAGAAGTGATTCAGAGAACTCTGTGCAGACAGACATTTGAGAAGGTCCTGCCTAGATCCCTGCCTTGGCACCAGTCCAGCTCTATAAGCTCAGAAGAATCAAAATTCAGAACCAGACCTGGTTAAGAAGTGGCAAATACACAGCCACCCTGCCAGTCTGTGCCCAAAGCAGACATCATTAATCAATCACAGCGCTTATTCCCTCTGAGCTTGGCTCTTTCCCAACATAGCTCTCCAGGAAATAACACAAATTGATCAAAGCTGGGTCTGTGAGGAGACTTCCTTATAATCCTTGCACTGCTCTCTGGTGACTCACCAAGGTGCCGCCTCCTCCTTGGAATGAACAGGAAAGGTCACCAATCCTAACAGTGTCCCCTAAGACAAGGAGCAGGGACTAGGTGATGGTTTCTCCCATGCAATGAAGTTTCAGTTTTATGCTGAGAATAGCACAGAGAGGTAGGGTGGGATGGAGTTTATTCCGTGGGCTTTCAGAACTGTCTGTCATCCCTGCTATTCCAAGTGTGGCTTGTGGGTCAACACCACCACCATGGCTCTGCACACACTAGAAATGCAGAGTCCTGGAACCGTTAGTGCTTTCACATCACAGAGGAGGCTGGACCTTAGTTTTATCTTTATTTATTTATTTTGGTGGAACCAGTGATTGAACTCAGGCCCTTGCGCTTGCCAGGCAAGTGCTTATTGTACTGAGCCATCTCCCCAGCCCCTTGGACCTTAGTTTTAGGAATTGCTTTCTGGGCAATCAATCTAGAAGCTCTTCACACACTCAGGTTTGAAAAGCGCACCTCTGGCTCATGCTTTGCCTCCTTAACTAACCTGGAGAAAGAAGGAGACCTTGTAAATCACTTCCCGAAGTGGGGCAGGGCTGGGGTGGTGCCCACATTCACTCCCACGAGACACGGCACTCACTAATCGAAGGAAGCCACACGCTTTTTCCCACAAAGTTCCAAATCAACCACATTTACATTAATTAGGGACAGAAATGCAGGCAGAGGTAACTGGCTGGCCAGCCACAGAGTGGCTGAGACACTGGGCCCTGAGTCAGGAGACTCCAGCTCCACCTTACTGGATGGCTTTAGCCCTCAGTTTTCCTATCTAAGAAAAGGGGGTGGAAGGTTGACTAGAAGAAGCTTTTCAAGTAGGTCTCTGGCCATGTGCAACTCTCGGTGACTTGGCAGAGTCCCCCTGGGACTGTAGGGATGATTAGGGAGACATATGAGGTGTGATCGAACACTAAGATGAACACTAGCATCACAGTAACTCATCACAATGGAAGACATTGCCATCAATTTCCCTCCAAGTACTCCCCTTACTTCAAACACACTTCTCCCAGAATCCTTACCACTTTCTGAAGCAGTTCTGGAAGTGCTCTTTTGTAAGCATCTCATTGCACTATTATGGCTGCCTAATGTCCAGAACCGATTCAAGATATTTGCCTTCCAGTACTTTTGACTTGAGGATGAACCCAAAGTTGCACGGTGCCAGTTCCAGTGAGTCAGGAGGACACTGACACACCCTGTTTTTTGAGGCTGCCTTTCCATCGGGTGGCTCCAGACAACCATCACAGCATTCGCTGTGTTTCTATCTTGCCTTGTAAAGAGATCCATGAAAGACTTCCAGGACTGCTGCACAAAGTGCCAAGAATTATGAGACAGATGTGTTCAAAGCAAGGTGGCGATCGAGGGGAAGTAATAGCAGTATGTCTTTCACTATAATAAAATTTTCAAACTTCAAACATTCACCATGTATTTTGATCATGCCTCATCATCCACTGATTGATTTGGTTCCACCTGACTTGGAGACAGGATGGAGAGGTGGCCTTGTACGTTTTCCCTACACTAGATCATTTCAAGGCCTTTTCTAGCTTGTGATTCCTGCAATTTTTCACGGTCCTTAGCCCACTCAGCTCTGCCTAGCAAGTCCCCTCCCACTCCCATGATGTCTCAGCTTACCTGGATGTCAGGTGACACCTGCAGCGGGACAGCATCCTCCTTCTCCCCCAGGATGAGCAGTGCGCTGAGGGAGGCTGGGGCTACAGCCTGCCAGAAAGAGCTGCTTCAGGGTGTGCCCTGCCCCAGCCCTTATGAGTGCCCACTCCCACTGTGCAGCAAGCGGGGGCACAGAGTGGGGGCCCCAGGACCAGGCTTTTGTGAGATATATTTGGAGGGGGAGCAGCAGGCCCAAGCTTCCTTCCTAAGTGCCCCACCCCTGTGGCCTCAGTTTCTCCATCTATACAGTAAGGAGGTCAGACCATGAGGCAAACACATACCAAATCTCATCCACCCTGCTGCCCATAACAGCTGCTTGGGTACCTCTTCTCTACACCCAGCTCAGGAGGCCTAGTGGAGCCACACCTGAGCCAATCAGTGGGCTGCATTCTCCGACCATGGGGACTGGTGGAGAGCAGGGTTTCTAAAGTAACCAGGACCACTGGATGCCAAGAAACTTTTGCTGAGACCTCTGGGATCGTGCACTCTTTCCCACTGTATTTAAATGAGGCCACGTGTGTTTAGAGCTGCTGGGAGTCATAGTGCCACCCAGTTTGCCAGGTGGGATTGTGGGGGTGTGGTCCTCTCCCAGGAGGACAGGGCTAAAAAGCGGAAAGGAACCACATCCTGTGACAATATCTGAATGCTTGGATCAAGCAGTACCTGAAGCTGGTTTGACCCCCATGCTGTTCAGTTACAATCAGCCAACTTCCCTGTGTCTTTAAGTCTGTTTGCCCTGGGTTCTCTCTTAGCTGCCACTAAAAGTCCCTGGCTCCAGCCTGAGCCCCAAAGCTGTAGGCACAGAGAATCCCTGGTGATCTTCACCTCCCACTCACCTGGGTGGCCTGCAGGGCACTGACTAGAGCCAACGGAGGGGACTGTTTCCTGGCATCGATCACAACCACCAGGCCCTTGGCTTTATCTTCTGGCCTGTGGGTAGGAGAGAGAGGTAGCAGTATAGCTGTGTAGCCTGGGGCTCACGGGGCAGGGGGCACTAGTAAATGACAGGGGAACTGGCTTCTGGAGGCCTGCTTGATTTGTGAACTGCTTCACCCTGCATGACCAAGTCCCAGTGACCCTTCCAGGAAGCCCTTCAGGACTTCCAGAGCCCATCACCTCCGGACAGCCATATCTCCCAAGGATGGCTTTGTTTTGTTTTATTTTAATTTTTTTTTATTTTATTCATTTGGTACAGGGTCTCACCACTCAACTTGGACTCGTACTGATCCTCCTATCTCACCCTCCTCAATGCTGGGATTACAAGCATTACAAGCTCCACCCAGCAAGTTCCCTCTCACTCCCATGATGTCTCCACTTACCTGGATGTCAGGTGACATCTGCAGTGGGCCCTGTCTATTTCAGAGCAGGCATGATGCGCCCAGGGTTCTGGAGCTGGCACTGTGGTACCAGGGACCAAACTTCGGTCCTTGTGCTTGCCAGGTAGGCGCTTATATCACAGAGCTATCTCCCGAGCCTGTTGTTTTGTTTTTTCATTTCAGATAGGGTCACCCTGCGTAGTTCAGGCTGGCCTTGAGTTTACTATGAAGCCCAGGCTGGCCTCCAACTCTACGTGATCCTCCTGCCTCAGCCTCCTAAGTGTTGGGATTATATGTGTGTCACCATGTCTATTCCAAGGGTAGTTTCTGATTGGTGGAAACCACATTAATGATCCTATTTCCCTAGCCAATGTCTGGGGACACAGGGGTCATGTGACATATCTGTCCAATGAGATGTGAGAAGTGACTAGGGGCTTGGAAGAGACACATCTTTTTCTTTAAAAAGTTCTTAGAAAAAACTAGAAGGCAGACACAGGGTGATGCCTTCCAGGGTGATGCATTTCCTAAGTGGATAAGATGTTTTGAACTGGAATTTTGGTGAGTTGTAGCTGCAGGTTCAGCTTTGTGAGCTGAGCTGAGAACGGGTTACCTTGTGGTGGCTCCTCAGGATTTCCCACCCTGGCCCAGCCACCAGGACTTGTTAGAATAGCCCATGCCCACACCATCCCTAGTATTTGGTCAACAGGTAGCATGTGGGCTGAGGGATGGAAGTGGGGGATAGGCTGCCCATGCCCTTGGCCAATCTGAAGATCAGAGAGGTTTGGAAATAACTCCTGACTACCTTCAAGTTTTACCATCACCCAGTTTGAAGACAAAACCAGCGGTGTCCACAGAGTTGCAGAGCTGTGGCACTGCCTCAGTATCTGGTGACCTGCTCTGTCTGTCTGAGTCCAGAGAATACTACTGGTGCCACCCTGGTGGGGATGCATGCGGGCAGATCAGTTCATTCAGTAAAGCATACAGCCTCTACCTAGAGGAAGAGGGATGTAAATATTTGCTGCTGCTTCTCCTGTCTGGAAGGGGAAACTGAGGCAAGAAAGCAAAGTGGTGGACAGAGAGAGTAGCTCTAAGGTCTCTGACTTCACCTCCCCTCTGGTGGATGGTGGTGGAGACGGGTCTGCAAACAAATCCTTGTTCCAGCAGGATCTCCTCTATCGCTTGATCTCCTCAGAGAGGACAGGTTACTGTCTTAGGGTCATACAGCTAGTCAGTGAGGTCCCTGGCCACTGTGGTTGTCACTTCTCAGCACTGCTCCCCTGCTAGAAGAGCTATTCTGCCTCAGATAAGAGGAAGACAGCAGGGGTTGGAAGGGACAATGACGGCAGAGAGAAGGTGTCAAAGGGATCCACCCCACCCCAGCAGCCGAACTCCAGGCTGGGCTAGCGCCTATAGCTAGCTGCAGTCCCAAAGCTGTTCTGGCTAGCGCTGGGTCTTGAAGGCAAGGACGGCACCCCTTCCTATCTGTCCTATGCTCAACATGAATGGCGGCAGTGGTAGTGGTGAGTCAGAGAGGTGTGAAGGATCGTCACCGTGCTTCACTTGCATTCGTCCTTTAATTCTCACTCATTCATTCTCCTCTCACAAATATTCATAGTTCAGCTAGCAGCTCAGTTGTCACCGCCTCAGGGAAGCCTTTCCAGGGTTTCCAGCTGACAGCCTTCTCACTCTTTCCCAGTACAATGGGGGTCTCCAGGTATGGTCTCCCCAGGCCAGACTTGTTAGGAAGGCAAACTCCCGAGTCTTCCAGCCCAGATCCATGAGTCGGGAACTCCTCCATCTGCTCAAATGGCCCCCGCCCCGTGACTCCATGCTGGCTCAAGTGTGAGGACCACTGATGCCCAATACGTATTTCTAGTACCACATGAACTTTCTTGAAAGGCCCCTGTCCCTAGCCGATTTCCTGTACAGTCCCTCTGACTCAGCCACAGCTCCCTCAGCACCCCACTGGATGGGCGGACACAGGGCTTCTCCACTCAACCTAGGTGGGAGCTCTGGGCTAAGAGAGTCCAGGAGAGGTGGCCCAGGTTCTCACCTAGGGATGCCGCACAGGTAGGACAGCAGCTTTGTGACCTCGGAGGCTGTGCACCATGGTGCCTTCCAGGCCTCCTCTGCAGTTGACACCAGGAGGAGGGGTCGCCCTGCCCTGTCCCTACTGCCTGGAGAAGAAAGAATGCACATGAGCAAGTAGAACATAGGTGGAACCTCAGGCTATAGGAACCTCCTCTTTGGCCTCCAGAGCTTTACCCATCTGATCCCTCCTCTGTCTAGAATCTCCTTAATCTGGGAATTCTGAACTCCTATTCATCCTTTGAAGACCTAACTAAAAAAATCACTTCCTCAGGGAAGTCTTCTGAGGCCTTCCTCCACACAGAGGCAGCTCACTCTTCTTGGGATCTCTCTGCAGAGGACACCTTGGGAGGCAGAGCTTGAGGAGTGAGCCCTGAGGTCACACAGCCAGGGCCATGTGGCCTGGCTCTGCCCTATCTCTCTACATGTCCTTGAGCAAGTTTGTGCCTCTCTGAACGCAGTCTCATTTGCTAGATGAGACAGAGTCCTGGGCTGATCAGGTTGCTCTGAGAATGAAATGACATTTCCTGAGATCACTTGGTGCATGACAAGCACTGGATGGATGGATGGAAGTCACGATAAACGACCCTGTTTGCCCTTGCGCACTTCCAGCTGTGGGTTCCGCCAGGCTGCGTCCTGTTCTGGGGACCTAGGCTGTGTGCCTCACTCTCCCACCGGGAATGAGCACAGCCTCCAGGACAGTGAGGAAGGGACACGGCTGTGCTGTCCCCCCTTCCCACCTTCGCTCACCCTGGTAGGCTTCCAAGTCTGCCCTTCCTTCCTGTCTACAGCTAGTGAAACCCTTCAGCTCCTGATGCCCACCAAGCTGCCACCTCCTCTAGGAAGACACCCCTCCTCCCTCTCCTCTGTAGAAGCCAGTCCCTGCCCCAGGCTCCCATCACACATAAGCTTCTCTGAGACCCTAGAGGACTAAGGACCCCTCAAGAGTGTCCTCAGGGGCTAACTGCTGCCCCCGTGGCTCAGCACAAGACCTGATGAATCGCAGTCAATGCCTCTGATGGGCTGACTAGCCTTGGAGGCTTAGAACAGCTGCAAATTCCACATGCCAGGATCTTGCTAGAATGCTGACTCCGCACAGCAGGTCCAGTTCTGCATCCTTCCAGGCTCCAAGGTGACACTGAGGTCATCAGTCCCTGGACCACACTTTGACTAGAAAGGGTCCAAGCACTCAGGTCACATCCTTGCCCAGAACTCAGTGATTGTGAGACCAGCTCGGGGGTCTGGCTCCCCACCTGATTAGGGCTCTCCACACAGCCAGTCCTGTAAGACTGGTGGCTCCACTGTCCTAGATGTTGCCCTGCCTAATAACTGGTGCTAGAGTCAGATCATTAGCCTTTGAGAACTGCAGCTCTAAGTCCATGCTCAGCCTATACATCAGGCATCTCAGTGGGAATGGGGAGCACAGCTTAGGGGCCAAGGGATTACCTACAGCTCTGGAAAAACTCAACAAATCTCCAACAAGGAAACAAGGAAAGAGATGATGTCCCCTCAAGCTGCAAAGAGACAGGACTGTGCCCGGGTCCTGCAGAGATGCATAAAATCAAGTAGAATTGCAGGACAGTTTCCCCAAAGCACTAGGGTCTGTCATGTCCCCAGGCCTTACTTAGCACATAGTGTTCCCTTAGTCTGGAACACTATCCTAACCCCTGGTGAACTCAGACTTTCTACTTCCTCCAGGAACCCTTTCTACACCTCTCCTCACCAGAAGCCTGGGCCAGGGACCACAACTCTGTTCCCACAGCCCCTGCCCTTCCCTACTGAAAAGATACATTTTGGGTTGCTACGACCTGTTGAATTTTCTCTACCACTAGAAAATAGGTTTTGAGAAGGCACAAAGTACATCTGACTTGTTCCCTAATAAGTCCCCAGTGCTAAGTTCAAGGCTCAGCAAGTATTTACGGAACAAAATTAAATGGGACTAATAACACTCTCAGGACTGGATGCTGTCCCTTCTCTTGCCAAAAGCCACCCAGGCAGAGCACTCATCCCCCAGCAAATGGGCACACTGGCCACAAATGGCTCACAGGTGCCTGCTCTCCGAAGAACTGCCCTTGGCTGGATTGGATCACTGGCTCACCCTGCAACCCTGCTGCAGGCTGCTTCAGTTGGTGGCTGATGCACCCAGGGTCAGTTTACAACTGATGGCTGACTGACACATCTGGACCAGCCCACAGTTAATGACTGGCAATCCAGTTGTAAAGGACAAAGCCAGCCCCCCTATAACTTAAAATGGAGCCAACCAGACAGTGCAGTTCGTGCGCCAGAGCTCCCTCCAGGGTCAGACCACAGGCTTGTTCATTCCTTCGGCTGCTCTGTCTGGCTTCCCTCCTTGCTGTCTGGGAGCTCTCCTCCGATAGATCCCATTCCCAAGGATCTCTCGCTCTAGCTCTGCCTCTAGGAAACTCAACAACCACTGTGGCTCTAACTGAAATCTGGTGGATGGATAGACTAGTGAACAGATGAACACACAGATGGGTACATGGATACCTATAGAAGCTGTTCTCATCTAATCCAATTCCTTCATAGAAATACTAGTAAACTGAGGCCCAGAGATGACACACTGGCCTTCTGTGCTTTTCCTCATGCACTAGGACCTGAGGGGATTTCCAGATAACCGCATCCCCACTCCCACCCACCCCCGATAGTGCCCCAGAACCTGGCAGGCAGGCTATCCTGGAGTGGAAGACCTCAGCACCCACGGTCTTAATCTTGGGCTCAGGCCCTGGGGGCTCCTCCTCCAGGCCGGGGGCTCTTTCTGGGGGGCCTGCCGCAGCTTCTGGGAAGCCAGCCTTTTTCCCAGACAGCAGGCCTGAGTCAGCAACAGAGCCAGATGTTTTTGTCTGAGTTGTTCCATCTGGGGAAAAGTAATAACAAAGGAAAGGATGTTAAGTAGAAGATGGATTTTTCTGGGGGGAGAAATGTTCTGTTCACCCTCTAACAATCGTTGATTTCCGACAAGCTGGGCATCGTGCTGGCTCCTTAGCCCCAGGATCGCTTTGAACCATCAAATCAGCTCTGTGAAGTAGGTAAGAACCTCCTTGCACAGATCCGAGCACAGAGAGGTGAAGTGCCTGGCTGGCGCCAGGCAGCCTTCTTCCATTCCAGACTTCTGAGACTTCAGGCCCTTAACATGCTACGCTGTGTACTAAAGCACTAAAACTGAGCCAGCCCAAGTGGGTCCCTGCCCCCCCCCACCCCCAGAGCCAGGGCCACCTTGTACTTGACCTCATCCAGTGGAACATGTGGGCATCCTACCTTTCTCCAGGGGTTTGGCTTGGCGTGGCTTAGAAGAATACAGTGAAGATAGGACTTTCCAAGGTCGTTCATTCTGGAAAGAAGCTTTGTCTTGGGGCATGAGGTATCGCTTCTGCCCCTTTAAGAAGGAGAATTTGAGCCCAGCAGTAGGGGACCCTGAGGAGGAGGAGGATGGAGAGGAGGTGTTTTGACTAGCATGGGCTGTGGGCTTGGGAAGTCTCCTGTCTCCTTGCTTGGTCTTCTTCACCTTGATTTCAGAGGCTTGGCCTACAGGAGAAGCTGAGAATAGGCAGGGAGAAGATGTTTGTCTCGGTCTGGGCCTGAGCTGGGCCATGGTCTCTGGGTTTCCCAGAGTTGCTTGCATCCCAGAGGCACCGTCCAGAGGCTCCTCAGGAGCACTAACATAGGGCTGTCGCTCTGAGCTGTGAACAAGCTCTTTATGCTTGACCTTGCTTCTCAGTCCCCAAATGCAGGGCTCCTCCTCTGAGTTAGCTGGCTTTGTACAATCCAGGTTTTGCAAGGTAGGTCTCCCATCCGGCTCTGGGAGAGCCAGTGTCCTTTGGGACAAAGGAATCTCCCTATTGCCACACAGTTCCTCTAGGGCCCCCAAAGCACACCCACTAGATGCCGCCACTTCCCAACTGGGAGGGTCTCCTCTGTTCTCTTGAGAAAAGCCCAAAAGAGCGACATAGTCTCCCTCTAAGCCCTGGCTCAGCCCACTGTTCACCTTGAAGGCCACCTCCCCAGACCTGGCTTGCTCTGCCTTGATGAGACCTGGATACTTGCTCCCCGATGTCCTGCCTGGATCCTTGACTGAATTCTGGGCCAGAAGCACCTGGCTGCCAGGGGAGTTGGCCAGCTGCAGTTCCTGAGGGCTGTTCAGATCAAGTGCCTGCAGTGGAAGGGAGGCCCAGGCAGATGAAGAGACCGTCACTGCCTGAGGTCTGCCATCCACAAACTCTGGGCTGGTGATCTTGGCCCAAGGCACAGGGGCAACCCCATTTTCTGAAGCCACCAGGCAGTTGTGCAGGGGACTTCCCTCAAAATCACTGTTGATGGCCTCCAGCCACTCTTGAGTGAAAAGCAGAGGGTGGGACGACTCAGGAACAGGCTTCTTGTCCACCGTGCGGAGGTCCAAGGAGAGGCATTTGATCATCATCCCAACAGACTGCTCCTCCCTGGGCTCCACCTGGAGGTAGAAGTCCCCCTGGCGCAGTAAGAGGGGATTGAGTGGCGCCAAGTGGACCACAACCTCATCTCGCAGGCAGAGTGGCCAGCCCTCGTGCAGGAAGAGGCGGTGGGCGTAGGGAGCCTGCAGGGGGAAGGGGACACGTCAGGGATCTCACCCTTAGATCTGCTTCCTTCTTTCTCCCACAAGGAATCCCAGACATGGTGGGAACTGGGAGAGGTGCCCGGGATGTGGCCCCGAGGGAGACCTCACTCTCAGGCCTGAGTTAGGGCTACCTCTCTGGGCTCATCCTAGTCCTTGCCCTGACCTTGAGAACAACCTACTGCCCCCAGGGAGGCTGCTCCACAAGTGCCTTTCCCATGACGATCTTCTTGCCCCACCCGTGCCTCCTCCTTCCACTTGAAGCCAGGGAGATGCCAGGTTGGAAGTCTACATAACTGTGCCATGTGCATTACTTAGCTGCTCCAAGTCTTCATTTATCTCTCTGCAAATAGGAGCAATAAAACACGACAGCACTGGTGGGTTCATAGGAGGATTAAGTGAAAGGAAAACCAGGATGATTCCAAGCATATAATAGATACGTGTTCAATAAATAGTAATTCCCTCTCCCTTTAACAACACTTACCCTTTAAAAAATTGTGGGAACTTTCAGTTAAAATATAAAAAAGTCATTTGCTGCTTTTATTTCATCCTTTAGTTTTTAAGTAGAGCAGTTACAACACGAAGTAGGAACCATTCTGAATGAGAAGCCAGGAAGTCTGCCACTAGCTCACCAGCTCACCTTGGAAAAGCCACTTTTTCATTCTGCCCCTAAAGGATTGAATGTTGATCATTTCTTTGTCTTTTATATAGTTTCCCATTAGTAGAGAAGATTATGACAGGTAAAGAGATATAGATGTAGATGATACAGATATAGTATAGATTCAGGCAAGGGTGCCAGAAATTCTCGGAATAGACAGGCCCAGGAAGTCACCCTGTGGCGGGCCGAGCTGAGTGACCCCCTGCCCATGGGGGCCAGGGTGTGCGGAGCCAGTGTGAAGCAGCGTCACCAGGTGGTGATGAGAAACTGTGCCCATCTCTGTTCTGCCGGGCTTTGGGGTTGAGTAAGTGTCAACATTATGCAATTTGGGTGCATGTGTGGAAATCTCCAGAGAGGGGCGAAAGGAACAGGTGTTTCTCAAAGTTATTAATTGAGGAAAGAGTGAGATCTGACCGTGTTTGTCCCCAAGGTGATAAACCAACTCCTAGCAGTGGCACCGTGGCCCTGGCTGCCTCCAGAACCTTCGTGTCCGTTACCCTTCCTGAGCATGGGTGATGTCCCCCCTTGCTCACAGTCCTGTACCTTCCAGCACGCTTTCCCCATCTTCTCACGGAATAGGACTAAACAGCACAGCCTAGGTTTTCCCAGCGGAACACCAAGGAGGGGACAGCTGTGCTCTTCCTGTTTGCCTCATAGTAGCTCAGGCTGCACATGGGTTATTATTCTCATTTATACACTGTGGCCCTGCTAAGGGTCCCAGAGGGGAAGTAGCTTGCTTTAGAGTCAGCTGAGAAGTAGCCAGTGCAGCACCGTGCCTAGCTGTTCCCATGGTAGGGTGACACGTCTGTCCCAAAACTCCGCTAGGTGGCATCTGAAGGTAGAGCCTTGAGGTGATGGAGTTAGAAAGCAGACCTTGAGCTGGGACTCTGATTTCCAAGGGGCAAATGAGGAAGCCAGAGGAAACCAATGACAGCTACCAGCACTTGCTGCTGCCAGGCCCTGGGCCAGCCATGGTGTTACCCTTACAATAGCTGATCTGTTACTAAAACTCACACAAGGTAACTGAAGCTCAGCAAGGTGACATGGATTCCCCAGGTTCATGGTGATGAAGCCTGGATTCAAAAATAAGCTCCTGACACCAGAGACCCTGCTGTGAGCACCACCCCCTTGCACCTCCTGCTGAGGTGACATGAATTTGCCTGTAATTACAGCCAAACAGGTTTGCCTATAATTAAAAATAAAAGCGCAGAAAGGCTGTGACCTTGTCAATGAGTGAACTGAGGGAGGGAGCGCAGCAGATGTGGTTTTAATGGCCCAATACAGGAAGTGGACGTTGTGTGGTTTGTCAGGCAGGAGAAATGAGGATGGGAAGAGTCTGCATGAAGTAATTCCAGCCCGGAGTCAGAGTTGGCTGTACCCGCTTCCCTGAGAAGTTTCCTGTTCCTACAGTGCCCGTTCCTACAGTGCACAGAAAAGCCCAGTGCACCAGGCTCTGTGCTGTGCAGCTTGAAGGGCTGATCTCTCTTCCCGCCTGCCCTAACCATCTCCAGCCTGGTTCCTGAGCAACATACACAGTCCCCACCCTTACTTCGCTCCTCACCAGCTACAGCCCAGACATGCTGGGAGCCAGCCAGGAAGGGTGGGGGAGGGGTGCGGGTAAGAACCTCTTCGGAAGCCTTGAGATAGAATGGCGGGGGCGGGTATTAAATAACAGCATTGCAGGGAACAGTTGGCAAACCTGTGAGGAGTGTGTGCAACTCCTGACCTATCCTTCTGAGGGTCTGACCTTCTCAGGGATCTCTCCACCCTTTTCTTAAAACAGTCATCTTACCCCCTGGCCACTGAGGTAGGGAGGCACATGACTCGAGTCTGGCCAATGCCGCTGCCCCATTCCTTTGGCCATAGTGATTGGCCTAGCAATGGACATGTGATTCAAGCCTGGTCAATCGGGATCTTCCCTTGAGGTGTTTGTTTGGTGGCATTGAAGACTGACAATGAGCTACATCCATAGACCATTTTTTAAAAAAATTAATTTTGAGACAGAGCCTTGCTAAATCACTAAGTTGCCCCAGCTGGGTTTGTTTATGATCGCCCTGCCTTAGACTTTTGGAGTTCGGGGATTACTAGCATATGCCACCGTGCCCGGCTCCTTGAGATTTCTTTACTTGCCGCTGCCGGAGAAGAGTTCATTTTACTTTCCAGGGAAAGAGATAATCTTAGAACTTCTTTGGGTGCAGCTTTGGAGCACCCAGCCTGGAGGAATGATGTTGGCAAGCAGGAAGAAAAGGCCTTCAGACGTTTGATAGGAGGACCAACTTGGGTCTGGTCTAAGTGAGGATCGTGTCATTTCCAGCCACCAGGTCTCTTCTACAATATTTTTCTCTCCTCTTTGCCCCAGAAATGGCCTCCTTGAGATATAGGTTTAGAAGGACAAAAGCGAGAATCTTGATGTTTGAGGGCTCCAGGGAACTCTGGCACCTTCTCTACTGTTTCCATTTCCTGGTGATACCCACACACCAGCCCCAAGCAGGTTCCTCAGTGCCAGGGAGACCCCAACGATGCCAAGCTGTAGGCATCCCTCCCCACTGGTGCAAGGACAAATGCCACTGACCCCTAGATGTCAGAGAGTAAAGGACCAGGTGATCTTCCTGCTACACTTGGGAGCCACTTGGGAAACCACCCCGTGTGCTCAGATCTGCCTGTGAGACACTGCACACAGCGTCCTTCCCAGCTCCTCCCCAGCTTTCCCCAGCCCCGTGACCTTCTGGGGGAGCTTGGCCCCTGGCACTGCACCCCTACTGACTTACGCAGGCGGCTTCACGCACTTGCTCACACAGGCGCTTGGCGGGGATCAGGAAATCCAGGAGGAAGCTCAGCCCATCCCCCCGGAAGTCAGAGTCCAGCAGGCGGAACACCTGACTCAGGACAATGGGCGCCGTGGCCTCAAAGGGAGGGTAGAGGCCTGCCAGGGCCTGCTGGATGGCCACATCCAGGGATGGGGGATCCTGTGGGGAACAAGAAAGGGTGAAAAGTGATAGCAACCGTGACAAAAAGCTAGTGGCCGTTACCTGGCCTTCAGGCCCCACATCAACAGAGCCCCTGCTAAGGCCCTATCCTCTTCTGCCTCCCATCACTTGCCCCTCCAGTCATGATGGCCTTCTTTCCTGTTCCCCAAATACACTAACTACAACCCCAACTCAGAGCTTGACACTGGCTACTGGCTCTGCCTAGAATACTGTTCCTTAGATGTCTTCATTGTTTCACCATCTACAAATGCCATCTGATGGTCTGATGAGGAGTGGAGGAAGAGGAGGAGGCATATGGGTCAGGGTCCAAGGGAAGGAAGTCAAGTTTCCCAAATCCCATCATCTGGCTGACCTATAGCTTAAAGGTGGTCACCACAGATCAGACACCCTGGATCCACATGCAGATATGTCAGTGGTACTATGTGATTGTTTCGTACCACTGAGTTTGGGCTGGTTTGTTACACAGCAGTAACTGACAGATATAAACCAGAGCTCTAGACTCGTATACCCAGCTGCCTCCTGAACCACTTTCCCTAGCTGTCACTCAGACACAGACCATCAACACATCACACCCAACTTAGCAACTCCCAAAACCTGCTCCCCACTGTGTCCCTTTCCAGTGATGGCTCTGCCTCTCAAGGAAGACTCTGAAGCTTTTTGTGCAGCCTCCTTCAGCTGCTCCTTGACTCACCAACAGCCCTCAGCCATGCCCCATGCTGTCTCCTCCTCCAAGAGCTCACCAATACTCTCTCTCCCCTGCCCCTTCCCAACCTGGACCTGCACCCTCTAGTCCAGGGAATTGTCTCCTCCTTGGTCACCAGCCCCTCATCCTCACTCCAGCCATCCTCCACCAGGACACCAGTGTAACCTTTCTCCAAAACAAACCCAACTTTATCAGGCCCTTGCTCAACATCCCAAAGGGGCTTCATGGTACCCTCAGGAAGCAACTGGCTCCAGGCATCCACCTCTGGAGACCTGGCCACTGTGTTCAGCCTCAGCTTCACTGCCCCTCTCTGAGCTTTGGCCACCATGACACCAGTGTTTCCCCATCCACCTCCAGCCTATCCTGTTCCTTCCTCCTGGGTGCTTTCCCCTTCCCTGGCCTCTTACCTTGCCCAGATCCCTATCCCTGAGTCTAAGGTCATCCCTCACCTCTTCGAGGTCTTCTCTGACCTTGAACTTGCCCCCACATGGCTCAGGGCTCTCTTTCCTGAGCTCTTCTCTTACCACACCTCTACCCAATCAGCCTCCATGCTGATTGCTGCTCCCTGAGGGGAAGCATACCAGGCAGAAGAGCCCTGAGGATGCCCACCTCCTAGTCCTCGGGACCTGTGACTGTATTTCCTTGCACACAATGACAGCTCAAGGTTGCAGTTACAATGAAGGTTGCTTATCAGCTGGCCAGACAGCACAGATATTCTCCTGGAGTCCACAAATGGCCCATTATACTCCCAAGAGTGCCCCAAGTAGGAGGGTGAGAGGGAATGTGACTACAGAAGCAGGATTACAGAGAGGCCGTGTGCCGGCTCTGAACGTGCAGGAAGAGCCAAGGAATGTGGGCAGCTCCAAGAAGAGGGGAAAGGCACATAAACAGATTCTCTGCAGAAAAGAATGCAGCCTGGCTCTTGCCACAGCATGAGTCCCACAGATCCATGTCAGCCTTTGGATCCAGGGAACTGCAAGATGACAAAGCCGTGTCGCTGCAGGTTTGCACATGTGTGATTGTTGTCACAGCAGTGATAAAACCCACAGCACACATTGGTTCCTCTTTCCCTCTGGCCCTCCATACCCACCAAGAGGCTGGCACAAAGCAAGTGCTCAATACACTGTGTGGGAGGATGAACCTACTGTCTTTCCTTGAACTGCATTTTCCACCTATAAAACAGGCAAGCTGGATAAGGCCAGAGGTTTCCAACAGCTGCAGTAATGAGATCCGAGGATTCTGACTTTTAGCTTTTAAAGAAACCCAAGGAAGCCAGGCTGGGAGCCCTCTGGCTAAGGGGCTGAGGGGGTGGAGATGAAGTGAGACCCCACAGAAGCAGAGCCTGGAAAGGTCATCCTTATGAATGAGGTCTTGGAAGACAGACAGGGGAATAAAACAGACCTCAAGGAGGAGTGCAGGGCGCTGTTCAGTCCAGGCAGGTTGCCAGGAAGGTACATAGCAGAGGCCTCCCCACCTATAGCTCAGGCAAGGCCTGGCCCAGGGCTGGCCTCCCTCACACCTGGCAGAAGGAATGACTGAAAGATGAATGAATGTCTCAGCCCCATTCAGAAGAAAGGGCACCCTGACCCTGGCATGGCAAGGGGCTCAGAGGGGTGACCTGCTGACAGGCACTTGATGCCCACAGTGTATGTTCCCTGGAGCATGGAAGATCTTCAGTGTAGCAGGACAGGGTACTTGTCTGACCTGGTGGCCTTGTCCAATGGCCTCCATCCTGCCTCTGTTGGACCCTGGCACCCCATCTTATCGTGCAGCCTCCAGTGGATCCCATCCCTTTCTGGGCCTCTTCCCCTGTGCATAGATAAAGTTGGTTCTAGTTTTGGAAAAGTTAATCATTCTCTGTTACGTTCATGATTTTTCTTATTTTTTGCTTCTTATGCCTTTTGTACTACTACCTTGTTGGGTTTTTTTATGTATTTAGTAAAGGATCTAGAAGGTCTCACTACACAGATCAGACTCGTAATGATTCTCCTGTTTTTCAGCCTCCCAAGTGCTGGGATTACAGGCTTGTGCACTCTGCCCAGTCTCATTCACTGTCTCAGCGTACCCTGGGGGTGGAGCTGGCATAGCACTCTGGGGATCAAACCCCTGGCCCCTTCATCTGCTTAAGTAGGTGCTATAATCTGCTGAGCTATTTGGCTGGCCCCTACCCTGCTTTTCTTCAGATCCACTTTTACACACACACACACACACACACACACACACACACAAAACCCAGCCAGAATTCCATAGTGTAAACTGCTTCTGTCTCCAACTGATGGCTTGACCTGGACAGTTACTAAATTCTCTGTGCCTCAGTTTCCACATCTTTAGAATAGAAATTGTAATGGTGCCTGACCTAAACAGTTGATTGAGATTCAGCGAGTTCATACATGTAAATTCTCTGTGCAGGACTAGAATTTAGTAGGTGCTCATTAAGGCTGAGCCATCATTGTTACTTTTGCTGTCCTATTAAAGCTATTATCACATCACTGCTATAAATGGAAAAATCTGTGTCATCCGGTACAGATAGAATGCAAATATATCAATGTGTTGGGTGAATTTTATTTAATTTACATAAATATATTTGTGTTTATGATGCATATTTATAATTATATATCAGGTCATTTACTTGGTCTGTGATATATCTGATGGCCTAACTACTGGCAGTATCCAGTCTCTAGGAGACAGTAGCACACCTGCTCTGCCTCTGTGTATCTCAGTTTCCCCATCTGTAAGTGGAATTCTAGTCTCCATCATATCTGTTCAGCTGATTGTCCTGGAGACCCAAGGAGATTCTGAGGCACACAGAGGGGCTCAAGAAAAGCGAAAAGCATTGTGGGTACTGTCTAGTTGTCATGTTTTTACCCATCTGGCCAGAAGCTCAGGCTCCATGCCCGGAGTGAACACAGGCACTTCCTGAATCTGCTGCCATCACCGCAGTGTAACCGCAGCTCCCCGAGCATCTCTTATCCCTCAGGCCCAAAACCTGTGTTTTCTTGCTCAGCTCGTACTACAGAGCTGGTACCAGGCAAAGACATCCATTTGACATGTAAACAGAGGGAGGCTGACCTCGTTCAAGGTCACAGAGAGAAGGAGGAAGGCAGAGCTGCTGCTACGCATCCTTCTCTTGCTTCCTGCTGCCTGCTCGGCCGGGGTCACCAGTCACAGGGGTGGCCTGCCCAGCTGCCTGTGCCTCCCACTTTCCAGTGACGCCTAAAGGCACTGTTTACCTCTGGAAGAACAAGCCTTGCAGACTGAGACGCCTTTGGCCTTCACGAATTGGCTGGCTTCTCCACACACTGTAACCATTTACGGGCAGCCGATACAATGCGAGAGTGCTCCAAGCTAACAGAACTGTGCACTCTCTGCCAGTGTATTACCTGCCACAGGCCCGAGCCCCAGGGGCTCCTAAGTGTTCAAGCTCACGCTGAAGGAGGCCTGGGTGGCTCCAGAAAAGAGCACTGGCCATCTGCCATCCTAGATCGATCCAGCAGCCCAGCCTTCGACCACAGGAACCTGAACCCTGTCGGCCAGACATGGGTCCCTCAAAACGATTTTCGTGAAACTTAATAGATGTGTTTCCATTCCTTCCCGGTGAGGGAGCCAGGCAGGGCTTTAACTGTTCCTTGGCAGCGACTGAGTAGGGTGTGTAGCCGAAAGCAAGAAGGCCACAGCACCCTCTGGCTTTACCCTGCAACCTGGGCCCAGAGGAGGGGGCTGCTGTGAGGACTATGGACCCACAGAAGAAGCCCATCTCTGGCCCCTGCACGACACACATGATCTTCTAAACTGACATGGGGACTGTTGGATGGTGCCAAAGGACACAGAAACTAGCTGCTCGTGGGGGCCATGTCTCGGCAGGAAGCAGCTGTGCTCATACGCTTCTGTGTTGTCCTTATGCTAAGCTCTAAGGTCTCTGTCATCATAAGTATTATTTTAGTCAAGCAAAATGAAACAAAGATGAAATGTATAGGTTGATACATTTTCACTTATATGCAGACCCCTGTACCATTACCCAGCTCAACACACAAAAGATTTCCACCACTCCATCCCTTCCCCCAACTCCCCACACACCAGAACACTTCTTTATTATAGTTTTTTTAAAAGAATTTCCATACAGTGTGATCTACAGAATGTGTATGAGCCCAGACACAGTCCAAATGGGCATGAAGTAAAGTGTTAACTGTATTACCCCAAGGGCTGTGAGTGGCAGGGGTCTCACGAGGCAGCATTTTACTTTTCTTCATAGTTTGCTGGATTTTCCACATGTTCTGTAACCAGCTCGTATAGCTTTTATAATTGGGGAAAAAAAAATAAAAGTGTGATTTTGTGTATTTTTAAGCCTGGGACCTTTTTAAATGGTCTTACCAGATGTTGCTAGCTGGGCCTTCCATGGTGTTGGCTGAACGTGTCTTAAGATCCAGATTTATCCACTTACTCCAACACACAAAAATTTCAGTTTCACTTAGCATCAGCTGCCTCCTTGCTGGGAAAGAGGGAGCAGACTGAGAAAAGCTGAACTGGGGAGTATTTGTTACGTTTGATCTTCATTTTCCTCTGCAGCAGAAATGCATAAGGAAGGTGAAAGTGTATCCAAGATGTGCCAAGCGACCTCGAACTCAGTTTCCCTCTTTGTAAAAGGAAGGCCCTGGATAGATCTGTTCCCCCCCCCACCCCGTGGGGGCATTCTAGATTAAATATAGGCAGATTCAAGAAGGTGTGGGGCTAAGAGGTGGGTCCTAAATAGGATTAGTTAATCCCCATGCAGTTGGTGAGAAAGTTTTGAAAGATCTTTCTCATTCATCCCGCAGCCTCGGGAGTATCTACATCAGCAGCCACAGGTACAAACAGCAGTGGACCAGTGGGACCCCATGCACAGGCTCCTCCTCAGCATTGGCCAAGGGTGGCGTGGCCCAGCACTGCCAGACCTACTGATTCCTAAGCAGAACCTCTCAAGGTCGGCCAAACCAAATCCATCTGTGAGCCAGATGCAGCCCAGCAGGTGTGGGGTCCTGACCTCCACCCCAGCCTCAGCTACCTGGGCCATTCCTCTTGAACTTGTCTAGGCTGAGAATCTAGACCCACCCTCTGGCTGCCAGAAACTCCTTGCTCAAGTCCAATTAAACCGTCTCCTGTTTTAAGCCCCTTTTAGCATTGTGTGTGGGTGGAGCTATGAGCAAGAATTGGCTCGTTATTTAAAAAAAAAAAAAAACTTTGAAAAGTGGAAAAACAGCCCAGATGCAGTAAACCAACAAGTGGGTGGCCAAGAGGACTCATACTCAAGTCTAGCTCTGTCAGAGCATGTCATCCATCATCAAGGTGACCTTG